ACTAAAGAAGAAGAACTTCTTTCATTGTTGGTTCACAAAGATTTGCTTGATCTCAATTCTCTATAAACAGCTTCCCTTTTACTTTTCTTGCAAATGAGCGATAACGAATTAATTAAATACTAATGTGTGAGCCCTGCAACAGACTTGTCCAGTATGGCTGCTGTGATAGGCTGCAGCCCTCCCAAAACCTGAACTGGTTAGTGGAAAAAAACTTAATTTTTTATTGTCAAATGTTTCTTTTTGCCAAACTGCAGTTCGTTCTTAGACCACCAGGGGGCTGTGGCCCACACTTTGAGACTCCCTGCTGTGTCTATTTTCTGGTGTGATTTAAAAACGATCTACAGCGCCGTCTGCTGTGCATAAAAACATGGACGTCTCTTACAGCCAACCAGCAGGGGCCGGCTGCTCGATTTTTATAGGAAGTCCAGTTGTTTCAGTACTCCCTGTGCCAGGAGCAGTTGGGTTTTTTTCTGCTCTAGGATGTGTATGATGTCACAGAAGCCACACCCACCTGCTGTTCAAACCTCAAAGATTACAGGAATAGAAAAGTGTAGCTGAAGGTGAATCGCTGCTCTTCCTTCAGGTATTTAGGAGTTGTTTGCAGGACACGTTGGAGCTGTTTGGAGAGATTGTCATCCTTTGTTTTTCTGTAAACCTGTTATCGCTCAGCACAGCTCTGTGGAAGCGTTTATTTCTGAAGATGTGATTAGACAGTGCTCGGTCACACTGCATGATCGAGCAAACGCCCTCAGGTGTTGCTTGAAATTCTGCAGAACCTCCTTTAGGCTGTCTGTTCCAGTAGCTACCCCATAATATTCAACAGAAAAGTGAAACATCCCCATTGAGCAATTTCCAAATCAGATTTTTAAACGTGTGACGGTGATTTTGTTTGTAAAGACTGTTGAAGCAGCTGAGCGTGTTCATACTGGTCCTGTGGAGGATTTAGTGCCTCTGAATGCACCTGAGTTATTTTTTTTTTAAGTTGAAGAAGTTGCTGCACACAGAGAGCAGAAAGAAAGAAGGAGAAAGAGAAAATTGGTGTTTATGCTTAAATGTTACCTCTCCAGCCATTTCCACTGGAGGAACCTGTTGTAGTACATGCTGTCGAGGTAGTCTGCGAAGGGCGCCATGCTCAGGTAGTCGTGGATCAGTCTGGAAAACACACGACACACAACAGCTGTCAGTTTCACACTGAATTCAGCTTCATCACTGAGAGCTCTCCCATCATTTAAGTCATTTAAGTCAACAATCTAATTATTTCTGCGTCTCCTGTTTGCTGTGACCTGACTGGTCTCGTTGGGTTAAGGTGAACCTCACACTGGACTCTCAGGAAAATGAAGGATTTTCAGTAGGGCTGGGCGATATGGCCTAAAATTCATATCGCGATATAATTTGAAGCATGTGCGGTAACGATATATATCACGATTATATTCTTTTCTTCTGTATTACGTATTTTCCACACTATAAGGCGCACTTAAAATCCTTTAAGTGCTTCATCTCTTTGCTATGACTGTCGGCATAATTTGCAGATGATAATAGTTGCCGCTGCGATGCTTTCGACCAAAACAGACGCAGCTTGATGACATCATCAACATCAAATTTATATCGTTTATATCGCCCACCCCTAATTTTCAGGTATTTTATTCCCTTCATGTGGACACAAACCCGCCGAGTTGAACATGACTTTGTTGTGAGTTGGGATGTTCCTGGTGACACTTTATTAGTGATTAAACGACTCAGAGGGGCTCAGAGCAGAGCTAATGGTCCTCCACATCGAAAGGAGTCGGTCCATGCTGAGGACACTGAGTAGGACACCTCCCAGCAGACCCCTAGTAGGAGGAGGGACATGCTGCAGAGATGATATAGCATGTCAGAGGCCCACACTGTCTCTGCGGATGAGCTGGTGGAGGTGCCGCTCCATCCTGCACTCAGATAAGCAATATGGACGGATGGCTGGACAACGGAGAGATCTCAGACTAGTCGAGTCATCTAAAAGCCAGACAAAAAAAAGGTACTGTGCAGACTAACTGTGTGGCGAGGCGTGGTCTGTGATGCTGCTTCAGGTGAGATGGACGCACCTGCACGGCATCTGCAATCACCTCGCCAGTGCAAAAGGCTGTGCTGTTGTCATTAGTTTTGTTGTTGTTGGTGTGTGTGCGGCTGTGAGCTGCAGCCGAGGTGTTTGAGTGTACAGCAACCGTTAATAAGATGCTGCAAAGCATGCAAACATCGCTGGGTCTGTCGTGGTTTTATCACAAACCCGTTTGCTTATTTCCTGTTTTGGATGCTCCTGAAATTCTGCAGGTCTCACAGTAAACCTCCTCTCTTACACACCTCTTCTTCGGTCATCAGTGTCCTCATTGAGACTCTGCTTCGATGCACAGGCTTTTTGAATTACAACGTTAGCCATAAATGTTTTGTCCTTGGGTGCCCTGTATGCATCCTGCAGTAAGCCTCCGGTGGACGTTAGAGGAACTGCAGGTTACCCTCAGCCACAGAGTGACCCACACAGAGCTTTGAATGGTCTACTGTCAGCTGTAAGATGACGCACGATGGCTGCTTTTGCAGTTCAGAGATCGTGGTGTTGATTTTGCCTCTCTGCGCTGCGTCACGCCTACGCAGCGATGAAGAGGACGTTACTCAACATGTGAGTGTTGTTAGCACATCGCATCAGAGAAGCAGCATTAAATGTATTCTTATTATTTTTACAACCTGCTCAAGTTAGTTAGTTTTGTTTTACGTCATCTGCAGCCTGACAAACAGCCACCGATACTGCAGATGTTACAAAGACTCAGGGCTTTAAAATGAAAATGTGATTATTGGAATTTCATTGCCACACATCTCTCTGTAGTGCTGTCGGCTCTTTGCTTCACATTCTGAAGCACTGTGAGGCGACTGTTGTTGTGGTTTGGCGCGATATAAATAAAACTGAATTGAATTATTGTTGCCTAACAAAAACCCCCAGAAACACGTTATTAGACGGAGAACTCTTCGGGCATTTGGTCCTCCTCTGGGCCAATCATAGCCCCTCACACACACAACACTCAGGACACAAGTTTGAAAAAACCGTTGACTTTATCACCTTCTAAAAATCGACGCTGCTCTGAACTCTGACTTTAGTTGGACTCGAGCCTTGTGACTTTAAAGACTTCGCACGGGGGCGACATCAAAGCCCGGCTGCCGGTTTCTCTGCAGGGCCCTCGATGTTTACCAGAGATATTTCTGGATAAGCGCTAACGCCGACACCCTCGACACAAAGGGATGTTTTATTTCACGCAGAATGGATAAAGTCTGTCATATCTACACAACTGAATCTCTTATATTTGACATTAAGTGGCAATTTCTCTGCTGCGCCTACACAAACAGGGCATTGTTCAAACAAACGCTGATTCGTTTCCAAGCTCATCACACGCTCGGAAAACCTGCAGCTTCTCAAATGTAGATGTAATCAAATTTCCCTTCATGAGTCCATAAAATGAAGCGTCTGAGTAGGAAGATTCTGGGGGAAATCTTTTTTTGTGAAGCAGAGACAAAACGCACATCA